ATGCCAACTATACCCTAGCTCTCATGACACATAACATGGGCGTTATCATTTATGTCATTTCACATTTTCACATAAACACGTAGTTCACTTTCACATAGCACGTAGATTATGTCACATAAGTTGAATCACATATACGTATAATCACGTAGATCACTTTCACATATCACGTAGCTCATATCAACTTTTCATGCTATTTCACATTTCTTGTCACATTGTTTATATCTTATTTTTATGTCTTATCATATATATATATACATACATATATAGATATTCACATGTTCATATAATCCATCATTTCATCACCTAAATGTATATTCATATAATTCATCTTCCTATATATATATATATATCATCTTTCCTATACTTGTATTCACATCATTTATATTCTCCTTCTTATAATCTCATATGTCCTGATTAATAACTTATATCATAAATGTATAAAATAACTTATATCATATCATATAGCTTATACCTCCTTCTATGATATTCACCTAGATCATATCACCTCTGTCATACTTATAAACATATATCACTTCTATTATTTCATTAATATACTAATCTAATCTATTTACCTAATTCAATTCATATAGTACCTATAACTTTTTAATATGACTCCGTAGATTTCTATCATACAACCCATATATCATAATTTTATTTAAGTATATGTATATTTCCCATTTAGCTAATCTTATATGTTCCTATTATCACTTATGTTCAAGTCTCCTATTTGATATAATATTCTCATATCATCATATAGGTCAATATTATCTATCTTGTTTCAATTCTCATTCAATGATATAATTCTATTTTACTATTTCACATAAATGATCATACTACTATGTACTTTCCCAACTCACATTCTTATTGTTTATATAACTTTACATTTGATTACTTCATTCATATTATTTCTTCTAAACTCGTTTTTTACCATATTCTCATATTATTACCTAATGTATCCCATATCATGTATTCACGTAGTCTTATATTCCATTTCTATATATCTCAAAGATCTTATCACATAACTTCTCTTTTATATTCATATAATTTCTTATCATATCATATAGTTTATATCATCATAACATAGCATATATTCACATCAACCATGAAATACATATACAATAACATGTCCACACATACCATAACATATAACTCAGACAATCATAACAAACACATGTTCATGTTCATTCTTCATGCACAATACTATAGAAAATAGACTTGTCGCAAGTCTTATTTCCCATTAAACATCATATATAAAATATCAGTATCCCATTGATATACTCTAATTTATCATTTCTTAAATCAAAAGAAATGTCTATTTCTATTTCCCCTTGAAGTGCATCGATACATTCTACAGTGCATCAATGCATTCTTTAACATGTGCATCGATGCACTACCCATGCATCAATACACAAATCACCTTCGATGTTTTCATTTTAAGGGGGTGCATCGATGCACTCCTTATGCATCGATGCACTAATTGCATTCGATGTTTCCATTTTTAATGGGTGCATCGATGCACTTCCTGTGCATCGATACACACTGAATAATTTCTGGAAATACCCTTGATGCATCGGTACACATTGAATGTGCATCGATGCACATAGCCCATAATTCATTTTTATACCCGAAAATCCACTCTTTTCAGCTTAATAACTTCATATATCATCCCTTTTCTTATTCTTAACTTACATACTCATATTCAAACTCATTTCTATTCATTAATCACCTCTTTAACATCAAAATCCTATTCTCCATATGTAATTCAAGAATTACACTAAATTTTCATCATGTTCCAAATTCAATTCTATTGCTTCTAACTTCTTAATTAGACCCTTAACAAGTCAAATTCATCATTAGAACTTTAAAAAAACCTTTTTATCATAAAAGTTCATTTATAAACTCTTAACAAAATTCCTTTCTAATTCTCTCTTCTTGGTGTTTTAAACTTATATAAGCTTTCCTTAAGCTTATATAACCCCCAAAGACTCAAATCCAACTTAAAAATTCAAGAAATCAACAGCGAAATCAAACTTACCTTTGCTCTTGGCTTCCACGTGAAGAAGAAGAAAGGAGAAGAAGAGAACTCTGGAGAAATCTCTCTCTTTCCACGTGGTTCCCTTTTCTTATAAAGGAAGAATAAAAATCTTACTTGTCAATTGACCATTTTACCCTTTAATTCATTCCATAATTACTAAATAACCTTCATTATATATTTGCAATAAATCATTGAACTATTTAATGAGCTTTATTGTTTAATTTGCTCAAGTGTGATTTTAGTGATAGCTTATTATTTACAAACACATTTTCCTTGTGAGGTTTTTTTTGTTTGCTAAATTTGTAATTACTCTTTGGGAGAGTGTGTATTCAAGGTTTTGGTGTATAAACCTTGAAGTGTTTGTAAGGCTACACCTTGTCCTTAAAGGTAAGCAAATCTAGTGGGTTTGAGAAATCCTTAGTGTGGAAACTAAGGTAGTGGAGGTAGACTTGGTTGATAAGTCGAACCACTTTAAATCGCTGTACAAAAATTTCATTTTTCGATTGCTTCCACCAAATTCTTTGAAAAGCCAATTCATCCTCTCTTGGCGTATTTCGGTTGATCGATAAAGCTAACACAAACTCTTATATGTATGAATAAAAATTGGACTTCTAACCTTATGAATGTCATCTGACCATGTCAACGATGTAGACACCATTGACGATTAAACCGAGCTTTTCTCTTAACAGTCACATTGAATGACTTCTCTTCCTTCAAAGACTTGAAAGATAAAACTTGAGAAATCACTTTGATGTCGAGTTTGGAGTTGAAAATGATTGTTGCATTGTAAGTAGATATTGCCACGCCAACATTTGTGACTGTTCTTTTTGAAATTGACTATAAATGAACCACCTGGTTTAACTTGAGCAGCAAGTGTAGGACAATTGAAGTTTTTCGACAGTGTTTTAGTAGAGTTTTTAGGGCAAGTGGTGTCGGTTCCTGATATCTTTCTGATATAATCTTCATTGTATCTGATACTAAACAAGAACCTTATGTTGTCGCCTTCAACATTTTCTTATGCAAGTCCAAGATTTATGGCTTGTACGGGGTTGACATGTCCGGACCCGTCAGAATTTCTTGTCGGATCCATCGGGATGCTATCGAAAACAAGCAATGGTAAGATCAAAAGAAGCTAATAAAAGTTGACACTTGTTGGACCAAAGGTTACAACCTTACCGGTAGTAATGAGATCAGATTTGATGGCTGAGGGAGATCAATCAGAGTGAAATGTTTTAACATATGCAGCCACAATATTAACTTGAGGGCAAGATAGAGGTTTCTGATAGTATACTAACACGCCTTTCATCTGTTGCAGTTGATGAAGGTGGAGCAACTGGTGAAAATGCAACCAAGATATCCACTCCTGGTGCACTTATATCAGGTTGCATCGAATTTACAGAAAAGAAGCTATGCCGAAGTTGACGAGGGATAACTATGGGTTTATAGGAGAAATGCATTCTTAACCAAAATTCTGTTCAAGCAACCAGTAAAGCACTCCTGAAAAATCACCACCAAATATCAAACATTTTCTTATTCTAACTCTTTTTAAATGAAAATGCTGCTTGTCAATGGAACCAACCGAGCACCACTCTCTTCGCAAGTAGTTGTTCATGGTAGCCAATAAACCAGTGGAACCTTTTTTCTATTAAGACTGAAACAGTTCACTGAAAATAAGATTGAACTTTTATTGGGGATTTGGATGATTAGGGTTTCTAAATCCTGGGAAATTCTATTCAAATAAGAAACTTTATTTTTGGATGATGATGACATCTTATATTTACATAGAAGAAAAAGAAAAAGAAAAGAAAGAAAAAGAAGAAGAATAAGATACAATTTTTAATATTTTAATTGTTGCGTAATACTTCCGTTAAGGGGTTATTAAGAGTTAGTGATTGAGGAGACTAAAATCTAATGGACTGATAACATAAGGGACCAAAATCACTCTTTCTTTTTGAACCGTTGACCAAAATCAGTCAGACTGAGAACATAAAAGACCATCTGAATAGTTTACCAAAAACAATTCCACTATATGGGGGAGTAAGTATCATTTGATCTAATGATGCTTCAAAGATATTACATAAGAATTGAAATTATTAAAGACTTGACGGTAGTGTTTCAACAAATTTTATAGCTTGCATAAAAACTGAAGTTGTGGAAGGCTTGAAGAACAATGCACTGATAAAACTTGTATCAATGAGGAGATAGTTAGATATTGACTCAAATAATTACTAATTATAATTACAGTGGTTGAAGATTATTTGATAATTAATTTTATTTAATAAGTAAATACTTATTTTAGATAAAAAAATCTTATTGAATTAAGTTTCTTGATGATCTAGCATTTGACTCGATAAATATGAAGTATGTCTTAACTTTTAAAGTTTTAAGAGAAAATTATTTTGTATAGATTAATTATTTTGTATTTTATGTAACTTTCGAGTTTATGTTACAAAAAAAAAGTTCTCAAAAATATTAGAAGAGTGATTTGAGATATTTTAAATTTTTATATATATTTCATATTTTAAGATACATAAGATATGATATATTTATATATTTATATTTATATTAAATTATTTTTCTTCTCCTCCATGAAAATATGTAAAATTAAAACGCGTTAAATTTTGTCCTTTACGTCTATCTTGTTTTGCGTTAAAACCGTTCTGGTTAATTTTTCGCTTACGATGTTGCCTTTTCTTTTATTTTATAGTTTTTGTTTCTTCGTTTCTTGGGGCCCTTTTGTGGCTGATGCATGTGGGCTAGCCTGCGTATCGATCTTTTTGGGTTGATGCCTTCTTGTTTTGCTTTTGTGCTCCTTCGTGGAGTTTATCAATGGACAGAAAAAAAAACAGACTAGGCTTGACCAAGGCTTTACCCAAATCTAGCGAGCTTGAAGCCAAATGAGAAAGATAATTGTTTTATTTATTTTATTTTAATTTTGGAAGAAACTTTAAGGATTCGGTTCAGTATTTCAGTTCATGGTTTTCGCAGATCATCCAAAATTCTTGATCTTATTACTATCCTAATCGCTTCTGGGAATATAGAAACTAATTCAAATCCTAAGAATACATTTCCAATCTACTAAAACCCTAGCATTCGGCGAGATCCGAATTCCGCATAATGGATGCTCGCAAGGTGGATCCGACGGCGACAAATCCAGTCCTTCATCTTCTCCTGTCTCCGTCGTCTCCAATTTTTGGAAAGGTATCATCAATTTTGTTTTCACTGAAACCTTTGGTTTTTAATTTCTTTTTCTCAAGTGTTAATTTGTTCTCTCGAGCTAGTTTTTGGTTTATGAACTCGCTTTAGATCAATTTTTCAGTTCAATAAGTTCCGTTGGACTGATATTTAGATGATAAGGAACAAGGACAGCATCTTTTGCTGAAAATATTTGCTGGTTTTAGTTTAATATGTTTCTCATTTGCTGAGAGAGAAGAAATGAGATAAAAGAAATTAGGAGAGGTTGCCATTTCTTTCCCTATTCACACACACACTTACACACAGAACCAATCTTCCCGAAACTTGGATGGTTTTGGAAGGGAGAAAGTGTGGAAGATGGTAGTGATGTAATGCAAAATTTTCATGATAGGGGTGACTCCAAAGAAGATGTTTATGAAAATAATTTTGATTGGTTTGGATTGTTTTATATTACTAATTTCCCTTGCGCAATAATTTTAATAAATATAAATAGAAAAATATCTAATTAGTGATTTATGAGATTTGAATTATTAGTGAATTCTATAATTTATGGTATTTTTTAGTTTCACTTTACTTTTTTTTATTGTTCTATTAAATCATTTATAAATTAAAGAGTGTAATCTAACAAATATATTAGTAATAACACTAATTCATGTGCAATATGCATGACATTGTGCTAGTATAATCAAGCAGGAAACTAATTATTCCTGGGATGTGTATCAATTTCCCTTCTGTTTTTATCTCTTTGGCAGAATTTGATTTGGAAAAGGAGAAAAGTGTGCTTGATGAACAAGAACTCAAAATAGCTGAAAGTCAGGAAAACAGCAAGAAAAACAGATGGAAGCTTGCTGAGAGTACAAGAGGTATTTTTTTCTCTCATACTTGTACGGCATTTGTGTACAGTAATCATAAACACTCTGTGCAGTTTTCTTTACAAGGATGTAGGGTAGCCTCATGATGCTATGTTTTCCAATATCAAATACCATATGAGTTGGCTGTTGACATCCTATTTTCTAGGTATATATAGTCAAAACTAGACATGAGTGGCAGAACCTCAAGTGTTTAATCTTGTTTTTTTCTTTTATTGAAGAAATCCCTATCAAAGGCAAAACTGCTAATATTTTCCCATATTTTTGGTTCACCTTCTGAGGAGCAAAGTAAGAATGGAAGGTTGAGGGAATAATGCTATCTAATAATCTGTAGGGAAAAAACCAGAAAAACCTAATTTTGGTTGTGTATAACTATGAGAATTAGACTAGTTGAAAAGTATGCGCTCTTATATTTCCTTTTATTTAACAGTTTACTCTGTCTAGAGAAATGCCTCAGTCAAAGTCATCGTTTCTCATCTTTAACAGATTTCAAGAAAGCTTCACCTGAGGAAAAATTATGTTTATTTAATTCGTTACTTAAGGGTTATCAAGAAGTTGTTAATCTTACTAAGAGAGCAAAATTTGGTGAGAATGCTTTTCTGAACATCTACCAAAAGCTTTATGAGGCTCCTGATCCTTATCCTGCTCTTCCTTCGATTTCTGTAATTATTAGCTCTGATACGTCGTACTTTTGAGAATGAGATTCCACTAAATTTTGCGTTCTACTAGTTGTATGCCTGCCTGAATTCTGTTTTAAATTTATTAGACTTCTTTGACGTTGACTAATGATTCAAATAAAGTAATATTGGAGTATTTTTTGGTGATATTAATTATGCAACTGTAAGCAAATGGTCTCAAATGACATGTGGTTTTTTACATAAAAAATATTGTTTCATTAGAGGGGAAGAGTAGAATTTTTTAAATGAGTTACTGTAATGACTTTTTCCTGATGCAAAATCTTAAATTAGTGTATCTAATGTTAGCCTTTTTTTTTTATAGAAAATTAGGCCTCATTAAAAACCCTCTAGTTGCACTCCATATTACAATAGTAATATGAAGAACAAACGAAGAGGGAAAAGAGTGCCTAATACTTTTATTAAGCAGGAGAATAATACACTGCCATCCCTTACATCAAACTTTAAAAGCCTTAATCCTAATTACATAAGACTTAAAAACTTCTTCCTGCAGAAACTTTAACACTAATTACATAAGACAGAAAACAAAATCCCTGCAGCGATGTAAGGGAATCTAACACCCTAACACACCAAAACATAGCCTAATGATCATCCTATACCATCCTTAGCAAGTCTGTCCGCTTCCCAGTTAGCAACTCTCAAGATTTGCCTTAACATAATATCCTTCCCTTCCATTATAGAAACAATCTCTTTCACCAAGGATAGAAACATAGGGGAGCTTAGTTCCGGGTTCTTGATCCACTTCAAAGCATTACTTGAATCCGATTCTAAAATAATCCTCTTATTCAGACCAACTCCTGAATCAAACAACATGTACAACCCCCTCTTTATCGCCAACAATTCTGCCATAATCGGAGGTCCCCCCCAACCTTATTAGAAAACCAGTGAATCAACACACCTCTGCTGTCCCTTATGAGTCCAACCACTCTCCATCGCCCCATCAACATTAATCTTTATGAACCCGTCTGGAGGAGGAACCCAACAAGTAGGTTTGGATCCCCTTTTTTCCTGTCTACCAATCGAATCAGCAAGAGTTAAGTCACCCACTAGGGAGTCAAAAGGAATTCGCACAGCGTCAAAACTAGCAGCAAACCAAGATACTGTTCGAAATCGAGCAATAAAGAACATCCTCACCACATCCAGCTTTCCTTTCATAAAGATAACCTCATTCCTACATTTCCATATAGTCCACAACACTGCCCTTAAGATAAATTTCCAAATACTGGAATACTGTTGTAGCTCATCCCACATAATAATAAAGTCTAAGATGTTATTAGGGATCACCAAAGAAACATTCCACAAATTTGTAAATCTAGCCCACAAACCCCAAACTACCTCACAGTGCAGAAAAAGATGAGAAACAGATTCCACCAACCTGCCACACAACGAACATAAAGGTTCTTCAATCCCAACCACTCCTCGCTTCAACAATTCCTCTTTAACCCACTCTTTGATGAACAACTTGCCATATGAAAGTTTCAACCCGAGGAGGAGCTATCCCGACCCAAATATGTTTATCCCACTTAGCCTGAATCCCCTGATTACCAGCCGCGTAAAAAAAAATGATTAATATAAGACTTAGTTGAAAAACAACCCTCTCCATTCCCTAACCAAATCCAGTAATCGTCCTCCTCAAGAGAAAGTGAGATGTTATTCAATATAGAAATTAGCTGCAACCATTGTTCAATCTCCCAATCCACTAGATTTCTTCTCATTTGAATGTCCCACACCTAGCCTGCTGCATTGTTCACCCTAAACTCCACCACTTTACCCATTTTATTATTCGAAAGTGCATACAATCTAGGGAACAAGTCTTTAAGAGGGACTTCTCCCAACCAAATATCATGCCAAAACTCCACAGAATGCCCATTTCTAGCTTTCAAACGCAAGTTTCTCCTAATGCAATCTCCAAACTCATCACCAGAAAAGAAGTTATTAATCACACCTCTCCAAATCCAAGAGGCTCGAGCTATCGAAGTATTCCCCAACATTTTGGAATTCAGGTCCAAATTGTTCACACACCAAACCACCCTCTTCCACCAAGAATCCTTTTCAGAGAGACAAACTTCCAAACCCACTTCCATCAGTGCTCTGTCAGAATAGCTAAATTCGGAATCCCTAGACCCCCCAACCTTCTCGGTTTACTGACCAATTTCCAGTTCACCCAATGTATGTTTCTTCTATTTGTCGAACCCCCCATAAAAATGCAGCCATGATTGAATTTAATTTCTGCAACACAGCTTTTGGAATTCTAAAAATAGAAAGGAAATAAGTGGGAAGGGAGCACAACATTTTATAAAGAGTCAGGCTGGCATCTTGGTTCCTAACTAAGTATAAGGATATCTCTATTCCTAAAGACTCGTTGATTTCGGACCCTTCAATAGGGGATTCCCATTCGTCCTACAAGTTCCTGAAGTCTTCTAATGTTCCCTGGTGTCCTCCTCCTATAGGCTTCATTAAACTGAATGTGGATGCTGCCACTAGTAGTGATTGGAAGAAAAGTGGGTTGGGAGGCATTTTAAGGGATCATCTTGGTGCAATATTAGGATCTTTTCAGGAGTCAGAAGGTCCGGGTCCTCCAACTTTGAAGGAACTTAAAGCTATTCAAAGGGGACTTGTTTTCGTCTCATCTATCCAAGGGAGGGAAAAATTCCGTTTGATTGTTGAGAGTGACAGCAGGGTAGCTGTGGACTGGATTATTAAAGCTGATTCTTGTCCAGCTGTGTATGCTTATATTGTTAAAGATATAGTCGTTAAACTTAGGTTTTGTGGGGGATTTGTTAGATGGGTTACAAGAACAGCTAACATGGAGGCTGATGCCTTAGCAAAAGCTGGTATAGGCTGAATTTTATGTATTTTGTTCTCGAGTGATTATTTGTAAGGGTTAGGGTTTTCTCCCTATAGGCTGTAATTCCTACTTTATTCAATAAAGTTATAAGGCACTCTTTTCCATCTTCAGATGATTAAGGAGTTTACACATTAACTCCATTAATCAAGAAGGTGGTTTTTAATGAGGCATTTCAAATCTTATAAAAAAAAAACACCACCCTACCTGCTAATGCTAAAGAGTTTACCTTCCAACCAGTCAACTTATTATGAAACCTTTGTACTATTGGCTCCCACATTGCAACAGAGTTTCTCTTGGACCCCAAAGGAAATCCTAGATACTCTGCTGGAAAATTACCCACTGAACAGCCAATTTCATTAGACCAACCAGCTAGCACCTCCTCGACATTTATTCCAAAAATTATGCTCTTTACTAAATTAATCTCCAGTCCCACCAATAACTCATAGATCAGTAAAACCCTTCTAATATTCTTCAAATCCCGGATTGAAGCTTTGGAAAAAATAATAAGGTCATCCGCAAACTGCAAATGCGATAGCTTGAAAGAACTTTCTTGAACCCCTAACTCAAAGCCCGAAAACAATCCCATATCCACTGCTTTAGTTAACAACAAATGAAGCAATTCACCACCCAAATTGAATAACAAGGGGGATAACGAGCAACCCTGTCTAAGTCCTTTTTCAGTGCGAATTCTGTCTGTAGGAGTACCATTTAGTAAAACTGAAATAGAAGCAGTTGACATACACTGATACATCCAAGAGCACCATTTTTCACCAAACCCCATTTTACCCATTGTTTTCAAGAAAACCAACCAATCTACCGAATCATAGGCTCTCTTGAAATCCACCTTAAAGACTACCCCCTCCAACCCTCTCTTCCTCCAATAATCAATTCCTTCATTTGCTATAAACGAACAGTCCAAAATATTCCTCCCTTGAATAAACGCAAATTGAGATGGACTAATTATCTCATTAATGCACAAACTGAATCTTCTAGCTAGGACCTTTGACAAGATTTTATATAAACCTCCCACAAGGCTAATAGGCCTAAAGTCCTTCATCCCCTCCGGATTATCCTTCTTAGGTATAAGGGAAATAAATGAATGATTCACCTCCAAGTCCCATTCCTTCCCCCACATAAAATTCCTTAAAAAACAGCATAATATCCTCCTTCAAAGAAGACCAGAATTTCTTAAAAAAACCTAAATTCAGACCATCCAACCGGGGAGCTTTATTACTGTCCGAGTTGACAATTGCTTCCCAAACTTCCTCCTCTGAAAATGGCTTCTCAAGTGCTAAACTCTGTCCTATCGATAATTTTAGAAAATCCAGATCTAATTCCTCAGCCTCCAAAGAATTATTTTGACTAAACAGACCATTAAAAAACTCCACCACTGAAGCTCTAATTAGGATAGGATCTTCTACTACTTCATTACCCACCTTGAGGGACTTAATGCCATTTTTCCTTCCTCTAACTGCAGCACTATGATGAAAAAATCTAGTGTTCTTATCACCATCCATTCTCCATTTCAGTCTTGATTTTTGCAACCATATCGATTCTTCTTTCTTTTGTAGCTCCCATAGTTCTTTTTTTGCTTCAATTATTGATTTCATTGACACCGAAGGAAGACCTTGTTGCATTTCCAATTTCAAATCCTGAATTTCTTTCTCCAATAATCTGATTTTTCCCGGTAACTCTAAATAACCCCTCCCAGACCAATTCTTTACCACACCCTTCACCCTCTTCAGCACCTTAGACATGGGTTTCCCTTTTTCCTCTTTACAAAATTTAACTAGCTCCTTCTCCATCATCTGACTAAACCCATCCTCCTCCATTACATAATTAAACAGTCTGAACGGTTTCTGCCCCCAATTACATACTTTGTTCTCTAACTAAATAATTTTGTGGTCTGAAACAGACTTTGGCTGCAATGACTGGCTTATCTTTGGAAAACAAGCTAGTAATCTCTGATCAACCAAAAACCGATCCAACCTCTCAAAAGTGAGAGCTTTCCTATTATTGCACCATGTAAAACGACCTCCAGACAAAGGCAAATCAAACAAATTGGCCTTACTCACAAAATCTCTAAACATATTCATTGTTACCGAATTCACAGCCCCTCTTTTCTCTTCCTGTGACAACACTGCATTGAAATCACCTCCTAAGCATAATGGACAGTCAACATTATCCAAAAATGATAATAATTCTCTGAAAAACATCTCTTTATCTGCATCCACACTAGGGCCATACACATTAATAAAACAACTTCCTGGTAATCCTTCCAAAATCCCTTTAGTTACTACAAATCTACTATTAATGACTACATCCTTCACCACAAACTCCTTCTGATTCCACAAGGTTATTAGACCACCAGCAGAGCCTACAGCAGGAGATATTGCCGAACCAATAAGTATTTTACCCCCATTTTCCTCACCAACATATGACTAACAACCTCCAATTTTAACTCTTGCAAAAATACAATTGTAGGTTTCTTCTCATCAACAAATCTCCTAATTGCTCGAGCTTTCACCCTTCTACCTAACCCTCTAACATTCCAAGACAACATCGACCACTCAACCATCAATAACATACAATAACCTTGCTTCCCAATAACAACTACCTTCCCTCTTTTGAGTTCCTTTCATTAACCATAGGAACCATTTTGTCCATAAAAGCTTTCTGTCCTCCTTTGAACTTCACACCCAATAACTTTGAAACATTCCAACATTCCAAAGCCTCTGCCGCCCCCTCTCTCTCATTCACTGCAAAGGATTCAAGCTCCTTACCATTACAACTCTTAACTTCCCACCTCCTGGAATATACATTCTTATAAAAACCTCTCTCAATTTTACTTACTGACGCACATTTCCCATAATGACGACTCATCACCGGTGAGACATGCCCATTCTGCAACTTTAATACATCTCCTTCAACATTAGTAACTTCTACAGAATTAATGGCAGCAATATTTGATCTTAAATTCTCTTGAACAGGCCCGTTTGTTAGACTCCTATCCATGCTGTTACTAAGCCCATTTTCTAGTGCAACCGTGTCCTGGCCCAATATGATATCTCCAATGTTCCTCTCCTTTTCTCTCCCTTCATTAAAATCCTCTGACACTCCCTGTTGACTGGGAACACCACCTACTGCTGTCTCCTCAGAACAAAAGTCAACAACCAACATTTTATTAGCGCCTACTTTTCCTTTCAAATTTCCATCGATAAGCGTATCATCTCCTTGTTGAGCCCCCGAACCCATGCTTCAAGCCTGTCCTGTGAATCTGACAAGGACTGCTGCCCCAACTGCTCTTCCTGTCCTTCCTGAATATCCCGCTGGCTCTAGTCCGATGAATTCTCCTCCCAAGGATCCACTGTTCCGTCTTCTTCTACCATATCCTCCAAGACCGGAAAAAAATCATCACTCCCTTCCTCCTTAATTTTAATGGTAAACAATTCTAAAGATGAATGTCGATGGAGCTGTTAGGCTTGATGGTTCGGGTGGAGGAATTGGAGGTATATTAAGAGATTGGAATTGTTATACCCTTTTGACTTTTTCAGAGAATGTTGGTCAAGGAACTCCTCCACTTGCTGAATTAAAAGCTATAAAAAGAGGCATTGAAATTTTTTTCTCATCACGTTGGGAATCTATTGGTAGGTTGATCGTTGAGAATGATTGTTCGTCTGCAGTGGAATGGATTCAATCCTCGGTTTTGGCTCCAATTTTTTTATCGCCTCTAGTTTATCAGATTTCTACTCTTATCACGGGAAAGGTTCATTCAGTGAGGTTCATTCCAAGGGCGTGCAATGGAGAGGCAGACAGTTTAGCAAAGAAAGGGATAGGTTGACTGTAAGGGTTCAACTGTGGTTTTTCTGGTCCAGTGAGAAGGTTTTTATGGTTGTAGGAGTGTTTAAGTTTTATGTACTGAAATTTAGTGTAATTGTTAAATCTTATGTAATTTTTCATTATTAATAAAAGTTCTAAGGCACTCTTTTCCTCCTTCCGCTGATTAAGGAGCTTGATCTAAAGCTCCATTAATTAAGAAGGGGGTTTTTAACGAGGCCTTCCATTCTTATCAAAAAAAAAATGTTAGCCTTGATATGCATGAGTCAGTAGCCATTTCACTTGTGTTACATCTAACAACAGTGTTTATGGTTTCCATTTCTCATGTTTATGCTGCAGCAACAGGTATTCTGCTTCTTATGAACTCAACTGTTGTCTTTTGAGATTGAGTTTAATTTAGGTAAAAACCTTGCCGGGCTCAGCTTCTAGCAATTGGCCTACAAAAACTCAAGCTGAATTAAATGAGAAAAATGTTAGGAGCATGACACTAAAAAACAACATTTTATCTGATTTTGAGATATTTAAAAAAAAATTTAACTGTGAAGAATTTTATATTTCTAAAATGAAAGTATGCATTCTGATAACATGTTACTTAAAATCTAATTTTTATATATTAAACCAATTTTTATTTTTTGCATAATGACATTTTTAAAATATAATCATTAACTTATTGAACTCACTTAATAATTTTAAGATTTTAACTTTTAATATAAATATATTTTTATGTTTGTAATTAAGGTATATTTACATTATATATATTGTATATGGAAATTATTTAGAAGATAACGATAAAACCAAAACGATACACCGAAACACACGGTGCCGGTAAGTACGAGTACCAAAGAAAAAACTCTCTTAATGAACTTGTTTTTTGACTTCTGCTATTATGTTCCCTGATGTATAATTTATCTACTTCATGCAGGGAGCAATCTTTGCAAGATCAATTACGGAAGGCTATGGAAAGCGTATCAAATATGCAAAAACTGCATGAACTTGCATAAAGTCAGTTGTTTGAACTTTGTGCTCAGTCAGGTGATAGGCTGACCTGACTGTTTTGTTCTACAATGTCAATTCTGTTATCTGACTCAATTAATTATCAAAGAATATTTTTCTCCTTTTTTGGTTATGTTTTCCCTTATCCATCCGCCTTTTCTTCTGTCATACATTTGTCTTTGACAACACAGAGGAAGATAGGGAAGCAAAACAGTCTAAGGTCAACCTTTTGATGGATGAAGTAGAGCGAACCCAAACGCGGCTTTTCACTCTAGAGAGGGAGAAGGTAAATTGAAAATATGATAATTTAGCTTTTTTTGATGCAATGAACATGTCATCTTTTTAAGATCTTGATTTGCCTATATGAGAGCCGAGGGGAGCGTAGTTATATAGACCTATCAACACTGACTTAGTTGTAAATGCCTTTCTCCAACTTGGAGCTGTGGCTGTCAATCAATCTCTTTAATTATTACTCAACTAAATGCTTCAATTTCTGCTTTGTGCTACTTATAAATATGTCAACCAGATCATGCTTGCAGTTATTATTCTGGTATTCACTGTAGCTAATTCTGTTGACATAGTAATTGCAGCATATTAGTTCTATGTTTGGGTTGAGGGGAAGTAAGGGAGAGGAAAGGAAAGTAGGGTAAGTTGACTTTTTTTCCATGGTTTGGATGTTGAAAATCAACTCCATCCCATTACAAAGCCCAACCTATTTGAAGCTCAAGGTAAATAAAAGCCCAATCCATTTTATCTAAAGGCAAGACAATGGAAGCTTCTCAACAAATGTAGAAGGAAGATATTTTTAAGAGAAAATTGTAGAATGAAATAGAAAGTAGATTTTTTGGGAGAAGTGTATAGAATGTGGTAATAATGTATGGCTAGGATTATTTTTCAATTTAATATTTGTAGGGTGTAGATTGCATGGTGAGGACTATAAATACCCTCCCTTGCATTTGGGATAGGTATACTCCAAAAATTTGAGTGTAGTGTCTTGAGTATAAGTTGTGAGCTTTCTATTGAATGTTTATTTTTCTTCAAATTGTGAGTGGTCTTTGGAAATTGTTGTAGTGTTTTTTTTGTGGATATAATACAAGTAATTTGTTTACTTGTTTGGGTCTAACAAGAGTTGGAGGAATCAAGAAGCTCAACAACAAAAACTACAACACGTGGGCAACATGTATGGAGTTCTACTTACAAGATCAGGACCTTTGGGAGGTTGTCAGTGGTGGTGAAGTTACACAACCAACGGCAAAAGATGCCAATGGCATTTTGCGAAAGTGGAAAATTAAAGCAGGCAAAGCGATATTTGCTTTAAAGACCACAATTGAAGAAGAAATGTTGGAGCACATCTGGGATGCTAAAACACCGAATGAAGCATGAGACACTTTTGTTACACTCTTTTCAAAGAAAAATGATACAAGATTGCAACTTCTCGATAACGAGCTACTATCGATGGCACAACGCGACACGACGATTGCTTAATACTTTCACAAGGTGAAGTCGATATGTCTTGAAATTTCAGAGTTAGATCTGACAGCTCCTATTGGGGTAACCAGGATAAAGAGTGATTATCCATGGTTTGAGACCCGAATATCGAGGGTTCATTGCCGCTGTACAGGGATGGCCGACACAACCATCGCTTGTTGAGTTCAAAAATTTGCTTGCAGATCAAGAGGGCATGGCCAAGCAAATTGGAGGAGTATCGCTGAAGGGTGAATAAGAAGCGCTCTACACTAGCAAAAGCAGAGGCACTTTCAAGCGGCAAACTGATAGTTGATCTAAAAAGGATGGTGACAAGGAGAAAAGTTACCAAGGAAAGGAAGGCTCTCGTTCTGGGGGAGCTTCCAAGAATCGCAGTAATAATAGAAAGTTCGATGGCGAGTGCTACAACTGTGGGAAGATAGGCCATATGGCAAAAGACTGTTGGACCAAGAAAAGCATGTTGAAAGTAATACCGCTACTTCCAGTTCGAAGGAGAATAGTGAAGATGATTGGGATGCTGAAGTGTTATTCGCTACGGAGGAAGTATTAACTCTCACGGTAACAACACCATAACGGATTGACTACAGGAATGATTGGATCGTAGATTCAGACTGCTCAAATCATATGACGGGTGACAAACAGAAGTTGCAAAACCTGTCTAAGTACAAGGGAGGTCGTGTGGTGGTGACAGTTGATAACTCAAGGTTACCGATAACTCACATCGATAAGGCGATAGTTACGCTTCGATATAATTCTAACCAGGTGCCTTTTCAAGATGTTTAACATGTCTTAGGAATGAAGAAAAATTTGCTATATGTGGCTCAATTGACATCATCAGACCATTATGTCTTATTTGGTCCCCAAGATGTGAAGGTTTATCGTGACCTCAAAATCTCAGAAACACCGACAATGGAGGGGCGACGTTTGGAGTCAGTTTACGTGATGTCCGCAGGGTCTGTATATGTAAATAGAACAAGAAAAAATGAGACATCAGATCTATGACACATGCGGTTAGGTCACGTTAACTATTCTGAGCTAAGTGTGATGGTGAAAAAGTCGATGCTTAAAGGGTTTCCTCAACTAGACGTGAGAATAGACACGGTCTGTGCGGGATGCCAGTATGGTAAAGCACACCAATTACCATACGATGAGTTAAAGTTTAAAGCAAAAGAACCGTTACAGTTAGTTCAGTCTGATGTGTTCGGACTGGTTAAGTAACAATCAATTAGCGGTATGCAGTACATGGTAACATTAATTGATGACTTCTCCAAGTATGTGTGGTTTTTCTTTATGAAAGAAAAATTTGACACATTTTCAAAGTTTAAAGAGTTCAGAGAGTCAGCTGAAGGAGAAGTGGGAAAGAAGGTATGTTGCTTGTGCACAGACAACAGAGGAGAATATAGCTCAAACGAGTTCTCTCAATACCTAAGGGAATGTCGAATACGTCACAGTACACTTGTGCCAACACTCCACAACAGAATGATGTAGCGGAAAGAAAAAATCGGCATCTTTTAGAAATTTGTCGAAGTATGCTACATGCAAAGAACATACCGGGAAAGTTTTGGGCTGAAGCAATGAGGACTGCAACCTTTGTGATCAACAAACTTCCTCAACCAAGGTTAGGATTTGTTTTACCCTTTGAGAAACTATGGAACATGAAACCTACAGTTAGCTACGTTCGAGTATTTGACTGTGTATGTTAAGTGTTTGTTCCTGACCATTTACGGAACAAGTTCGACAAGAAAACTGTTAGATGTATCTTTGTGGGATACGATAGCTAGAGAAAGGGGTGGAAATGTTGGGATCCAATGAGTGGAAGATGCTACACGTCACGAGATGTGGTATTTGATGAAACATCTTCTTGGTGGTCCTCAGAGAAGAGATATTGCTAGACTCGAGAGAATTTGGAGACAAGCTGCAACAAAAGATGGGGGAGCATTTTGTTTAACTCTTAACAAGTTCAGATGAATCAGGAGATCCAAATGGCGATAATGTCGAATAAAGAGTAACTCAGAATCCTTGGCAAACTGGCGTGTATTAACAACCAAACAAAGGTGGGCCTAGTGAAACAGAAGAATCAATTCCACAATCTCAACTCCGAAGATCAATAAGAATACGAAGGTCAAATATCAAATATGCCAATGCAACCATAATTGAAGAAGCAATAGAGCCTGAAACGTTCGAAGAAGCATCGCAGAGTTCTAAGTGGATGACAACTATGAAAGAAGAGATCGATGTACTTAAGCAAAATCAAACTTGAGATCTTGTGTCAAAGACAAAAGATGTGAAACTCATATCTTGTAAATTGTAAATGAGTTTACAAGATAAAACGCCGTCCAGATGGGTCAATCAAGAGGTACAAGGCACGATTGGTAGCTCGTGGTTTATCTCAATAATATGTAATAAACTATGACGAAACTTTTAATCCAGTGGCGAAACTTATAACCGTACGAGTCCTACTTGCACTTACAGCCAACAAAGACTGGAATTTGTGGCAGATGGATGTGAAGAATGTTTTTTTTCATGGAGAGCTAGATCGGAAGATCTACATGATTCAACCAATGGTTTTTCAGAGCCAAGATCATCTTAAATATGTGTGTAAGCTGCGAAAAGCACTCTATGGATTGAAACAAACACTTAAGGCGTGGTATGGTAAGTGTACTGAATTTCTAACGCAAAGTGGTTATTCAGTAATACCTGCAGATTCTAACTTGTTTGTCAAAGCCAATGAAGGTAAGCTAGCTATCATGCTAATGTACGTAGATAACTTAATCATAACCGATGATGATAGGGCAAACATTCTTCGGACGAAGGAGAATTTATCAGTTCGTTTCCATATGAAGGAACTTGGACAACTCAAGCACTTCCTTGGTCTAGAGATTGATCGCACACAAGAAGGAATATTTATGTTTCAACATAAATATGCCAAAGGTTTGTTGAAAAGGTTTGAAATGCTCGAATGTAAATCGATTTCGACGCCAATGGAACCGAATACCAAAATGTGTGCACATGAATGAAAAGATTTGGAAGATGCGACAATTTATCGACAATTGACAGGTAGTCTGATCTACTTAACCTTGACTTGACCTGACATTTCTTATGCAGTTGGTGTGATGATTCGATATATGCAAAATTCAAAGAAGCCTCATTTGGAAGCAATTCGACGAATACTGAGATATGTGAAGAGTACAATTGACTATGATCTTTTGTACAATAAAGGTGAAGACTACAAGTTAGTTGGTTATTGTGATGCCGACTATGCGGGAGATCATGACATCAGGAGATCAACAACTGGAAACAAACTGATAAATTCTCCTTCGTCCGAAGAATTTCTGCCTCATCATCACCGGTTATGATTAAGTATCCACGTACACTAGCACGATAGCTAGCTTACTTTCATTGGCTTTGACAAACAAGTTTGAATCGGCAGGTGTTACTGAATAACTACTTTACTTTAGAAATTCAACAATCTTACCATATCACGCCTTAAGTTCTTATTTCAATTCGTATAATGTTTTTTGCAGCTTACACATATTCAGGATGATCTTGGTAACCTTCAGTTGTCAGCTGTTACCATCACACGACCTCCCTTGTACTCATACAGGCTTTGCAACTTTTGTTTGTAACCCGTTATATGATTTGAATAGCCCGAATCTATGATCCAATCATTTTTGTAGTCAATCTGTTCTGGTGTTGTTACCGTGAGAGCTAATTCTTCTTCCTCCGTAGTGAATAACACTTCAGCATCCCAACCATCTTCACTATTCTCCTTCGAGCTGAAAGTAGCAGTATTACTTTTAA